AATATAATACTATAGCATTTTTTTTTTTTTTCTTTTTTTCGTTAATATGAGCTCAGACGTAACAGGAGAACAATATATTCGTACATTTGCACAGTACATTCGTTCAAATGCACGGAAGATATTGGTACAAAATTCATCTTTACCCTCAGCGTCCCCATCTCAAGTATTAGGTCATAGAAGGTCCAATAGTGATGGAGCAAATTTTTCAATGGCAAATGTATGGTCATTTACTACGGCCTTAACAAGTTCTTACTTGAAATCGCCCGCTTCATCGGCATCAACAGCGCCTTCTACACCAGAAGTTTCAGCAAGTCAAAAGGCAATTTTGGTCACCCTTGATCCTCAACATTTATACTATCTGCTAACTAAGTTCAATGATTTGGGGCTTGATGTTGGTGCTTTTGAAATGGCAGCCGATTTCAGGTGCAATGACGACGACATTCTTGATATTGACTTAAAGGATGAAACAGCATCAATTACGTCAGCAAACTCTGTTAGCTCAATATCATCTGCTATGTCTTCCTTGTCATTGTTCACAGGATGGACAGGGTGGGCTGCTGCAGCACAACCAAATATTCCAATAAAAGAAGAAGTATTATATATATATCGTGCATTCACCAAGCTTTCTGGTTTAAAGCTTTCAATCATTACACAAAAAAAAATAGGAGGTTCTAGTGATCTTCCAATAGGAACCATGCTGTCCTTGAATTTATTTAAATGTTTGACACATCTAGAAATTTATGGATTATCTCCAAAAATGTTTGATGGGTGGGATATATTACAAGAGAAATTAGAGTATTTTTCTATGCGAAAGTGTTTAATTGACGATATTTCGGAAATATTTATTGATGCAGTGGTTGATGGCTTGAAAAGGAGAAAAGGAAAGGACGTTAAAACCGACGAGAATGAAGATAAAAAGGAGGAGCCAGACCAAATGGCCAAGAAATCTAAAGATATAGACGATAGTTCTCCAGATAATATTTTACCACCAAGAATCTGGCGACAATTAAGGCAACTTGATCTTTCAGACAATTCTCTCACCTTTGTTGCCAGTGAACCCTTTACTTATATTACTAAATGTACGCACATGGATTTATCGGATAATCTACTACTCGCAGTTCCATCTGGTCTATCGCAACTTCAAGACTTGCAATATTTAAATCTTAGCAATAACATGATCGAAACAATAATCAGTATTCATCAGATTCTTAGAAGTGTTACCAAATTAGACTTGCGTAACAACCGCGTGGAAAATCTATGTGGATTAGAACGGTTATGGTCTTTAGAATATGTTGACGTTAGAGATAATCGATTAACGGATTGGGCAGAAATTGGACGCATGGCAGATCTTCATAGAATAAAGCAGATATTTGTGGAAGGCAATCCGTTCACGAAATATCAGGTTGGTTGAACATATTCAATTATAATTGATTAAACCCTAAATTTGAATTCGATAAACGAGATTGGTCAGCAAGTGTATGCATATCATTTTATTGTATTTGGTGCACCAAACTTTGTCGAATTGATCTTTATATTAAGTAAATTAGGCTTTATTAAAACAAAAAAACATTTTTATTTATTATACATCAATAGCAATCTTACAGAGTCAATATCTTTTCACTCTTTCGTGAAAAAGATAAGGAAATTATATTAGATGGTTCGGGCCCTAGTTACAATGAACGTCGTCATATTACAGTCAGCTCTAAGCCTTTATATGAAAAGATTCCTGAGGCTATTGTGGGCAATGAAGCACACTTGTCTACCAGTCCAGAAGATACGCTCTCTAGTTTGAAGCCATCTAAAAGCAGTAAACACCGTAGAATTGTTAAACTTGATGGAGAAGATGAACATAATAGTGAATCTGATATTGGATCTGATGTAATGTCGATTAGTTCAAAATCTGGAAAAAACAAAAAGAAGAAAAGTAAGCCAAAACTTGAGAAAATGACATCAAAACACCGGCTTGTGGAAATTGAAAAGGCAGTCGCTGCGGAAAATGACCCACAACTGAAAAAAAAGAAATCACTTAAATTCCGCCACCAATCCTTGGACATGCAAAGACTTAATTCGACATCACCTGTTGAATCAGAAATTGTGACGTCCGGAGAAGATTATAGACGAAAAATTGAGGAATTACGAAACGAAGGTGGTTCTTCATGGCTAAGAGTTTATACAGAAATGGAATATTCAAAAGATGAAAACGATAGATTAAGGGAGCCACCAAGGACAAAACAGTCTTAGTGATTGTAGCTGATTTAAAATTTATAAGCTTAGCCGAGTCGATAGCTTTGATACAGCTAAGTCGTCCTAGTCGGTTATCATCTCAAAAAATTTTAGCCTGATAATAATATAAACTACGATCCGGAAACTCCCATTGGCCGCTCACGTATTTTATGTTTTTCATTTTTTTTTTTTTCATTTTATTTTACATAAGGCCAACATAACTCCCGCTTTTTGAAAGCTTGTATAATCGAATACACATAATATTAACCAAACAATTTACAGCATTAGTTATCATGTGTATTTTACATTTTTTTACATTATTTTCAGCCAATAAAATTACAATATTTCATTAATTTGTCTTTCTTTTTTTGATGCCTCACCCTCTTACAAGTTACGTATTTTTTACGGAGAATCTTCCGGGAATGAATTGGAATTCATCGGAGATAGGCCAACATTAAAAACAATAATATCAACCAGCTCCATTGATAACAAAATTGGGTAACGGACTAGGAAACTCCCTATTTAAAGCAAGTTCTAAACGGCGATTTTTCTAAACCATGACCCAATTATCATCTGTGCAAACTTTATCTAATGAGTGGGCTATTTCTTCATTAGTAAAAGTTTGTCGATTTGGAGCAATTCCAGCCCTTTCCGATGGATTCTGGCCTGGAATTTTGGTCGATCTGCTAAATTTTGGTTACGTCACTAATCTATTCTTACCAGTATGGAATATTTGTTTTCTTTAGTGTTCAAAATGTTGTTATTACTTGATTTTATATGGTTTTGCCCAATATCATTTTTAAAACAACTTTTTGTTCGTATAATTTATTTTAAAAAATATTTGTAATTTGATATAACTTTTAAAATAAAAAAAGATTATAATGTAGGTTTTTAATTTGCAATTTTGATTTGTATACCATATAATATATATGTTGTGCGTCAAACTAATATCTGCGTCAAATTAAAATAACTACTAACGCTAACCCTAATGAAACTCAGTTTTATCTTAATTTGACGCACAACAAATAAGGTAAGTGCACCTATTGTAATGTTTACGATAAATATCACGTGATTAGCGGCACAGGAACAACAGGGCAGGGACGTGGAATAATATACAGGTAGGATCGTCCCAAATTAGGAGATGATGATCCCGATCATGCATATTAGATTTAGCCAATAAAATTGTAAAT